AAAACCATCCAGAAAATACTGTGATGCCCTAAGAAGAAAGTGTGTTCTGTTGTCTTTATAACAATATCTCTTCCTTTCTGCCCCTCAGGGATCATGTCCGACCACCAGTTTGGTAACCAGTTCATGTGCAGTGTGGTAGCCTCTCACGTGAGCCATCTGCCCACTACCAACCTCAGCTTCGTCTGGATCGCTCCACCTGCTGGCACAGGCTGTGTTAATTTCATGTAAGTACCCAAATCTCTCCGACGAGTATGAAAGGCAAATCGTTTCTGTGTGTGTGTGTGTGTGTGTGTGTGTGTGTGTGTACGTGTTGAGTGAAAGTTTATAGAGCGAATGAGATTTCTGTTCAGTAGCAGTTTGTGTGCAAACCCTTTTGTGTGGATTGATTGCAGTCCCCACAGTGTAACAGAACCCTTCCTCCCCGTGTACCTCTTTTTCTTCCCCTTCTCTCCCATCCCTTCCTGCCTTTGGAGCTTTATCGTTGGACACATGCTGCCCTTTTGATCTCAGATGGTTGACTCCTCTGAGCAGCGTGTGTCTCCCTGTTGTTCACCTGATAGGCCCGTCTGTTCTTTCGGTGAAAATTGAGCCATGGAAGTAAGTTTACTTCCAGGCTGGAGTAGTATTAAAGGCCATAGTCTCTGGGGGTCTACCAGTCTTTATCCCAGCAGTGGGCTGGTCTTTTGAAAAATTATTATTATTTTGAGTTTGGGTCCACACTTCCCCAGGAACTCCTGCTGTGATTCCTTCCAGAGGAGGCGGCAGTGGTCCTTGGCACCGTCTAATAATTCTTCTGGGGTTCTTGTGGTCTGCTAGCCCCTTTGACTAATGGTTTCTATCCAGCTCTGATTTTCTTCACTTTTTTTGACCAGGACAGGAAGAGACCCATAGTTGTAGCTTAGATGGCCACTCACAAGCTGAGATCCCAGTTCCTGCTCATCATAGTGTATGAAAAAAGTGTCTTGTATGAACTCTGTTATGCGAGTTGATTTTAGCGTTCCCTGAAAGCAGGTCGTGAGCCCTCTGGGCCCAGCAGCTCATTCCCTCCCGGGGTTTGTGCTGGCTGCTGTTTGTGCACTGTACTATATTCACAGATATATTTACAGCAAATATAAATACATTTTGTATAAAATATCATCTACCAAATCTATTTGTGATTGTAGTCCCAGTTGTGAAAGGTACATTCTTAGCCTCTCAAGGGGTTACGTGTAAAATAACCATGAAAATTTATTATTTTCACAAGCTTGACCTTAATTTAATGCAATTAATTTTGATGTCAAAAAAGGTATCAAATAGTTTTAAAAAAGGTAACATTGATCAATTTTTTCTTATTATTTATAACTTGAGAGTTTTACATTGCATTTTAGCTTCCAAAAAGAAATAATATAAAAGTAAGAGGAGTATGTAGAGTAGGAGGAAAAGAAATGTTCAGAAAGAAAAATAAAACTGGTACACAAAAATGCCATGAGGATCTCTACATATCTGGGGACCCCACGTTTGGCTTTGAACTTTCAGACCATTAGTATCAAGGGAGAGAAGCTATCAGCTAGATGATTCACAGTGGTCAGAAGCCAGCTGTTCTACACAAACCATCCTTTACTCCTCATGTGTGTTCACTAAGAGGTGATTAGAAAATATAGGTGAGCTCAATGGCATTTGTAGATCAAATTCTGCTGTAGTTCTAAGTTGATGACTTGTGACGTCTCTCAATCTATTCTAGACTATGCGCTGTCCACTCCACTCCACACCACCAGTATTTCCACTACTCTTTTTCAGTCTACTCATTCTTTCATAGCATTAAACACACACACACCTGGCACACAATATACCATACATACTCAAGTATAAGCTGACCCGAATATCAGTCAAGGCACCTAATTTTACCACAAAAACTGCATTAAACATGTGCTGAAAAACAGCTTATACATGAGTATATACAGTACTTCACTGATTTTACATATATATATATGTAATGTATTATCTGCCTCTTTTCACTAAAATGTAAGATCTGTGAAGACAAGGACACTCTCTGTTTGATAGGGCCAAGAGCCTAGAACAGTGCCTGGCAGATAGCGGCAAACCAGTTACTGCTGAGATGATTTTGAGACTCCTGGGCACCCTGTGTGTCAGAGTAGAACTGCACACCACTGGACTTTCAATGGGGAAAAGGAGCAGATCAAGCCTTTCTTCTGAGGTAGCTCTCTCTGGGTAGGCTCGAACCCCTAGCCTTTTGAGTAACAGCTGAACACTAACATTTTGCATCCCCCAGGGATACCGTAAGTCAGCATGCAGACAAAGTAAACCAGTGCTATAAGGTCAAAACAGTTTGGAAACAGTTATTCTTTGGAATGTTCAAACAAACTGGAGCTGAAAAACACCACAGATGTTTTTTCTTCTAATTTCCTGCTCAGACAACAAAATCTCATGAAATTTGTGCACTCTAAAATTTACTAAGTTCCTTCTTCCCTCGGTAACATTAAGTGTTCGTGTTCCAAAAGCCCCTCTGTCATAGATTATCTCCTGCTCGTTTGCTGTATTACCCAGCCTGCAAGCAGCAGATTCGTGCCACACGTGAGTTTGCTTCTGAATCCCATCCCTCACAAAGTCTTTCATATCTGAGCTGGCCTCTTCCTCGTACCGCTTTCTGAAGTGATTCCATGTCTTTCTCACTGGCCTGTCCGTTTCCAGCCTCTCTGTCTTCCAGTCCATTCTGTACATTTTGTCTAGTTACTCTTCCTGAGGTACAAGCTGCTTCACTCAAACTTGGGCAGCCTAAGGTTCTCTTCTGAAGGCCAGCCCTCCAGCCTGGGTTTGAAGACTGTGGCTGCTTTTTGAAGACTGTGGCTGCTTATTATATTCCCTTTCTTTACCACATTAAACAAACAGACAAACTTCCTGCCGCTGATTTGATTCGGACTCATGGTGACCTGATAGGACAGAGTGGTTTGGTGGTATAGAGTTGCTAAAGCTATCAATCTTTGTTGGAAACTGACTGCCTCCTCTTTCTCCCATGGAACAGCTGGTGGGTTTGAACCACTGACTTTTGGTTAGCACCAATCACTGGGGTTCCTTTACCTTTTCTTCCAACCTGTTTATATGCCAACTCTTCTTTCAAAGCTTGCTGAGCTATCAACAGCAGAAGTGATGTGTCACTTTACATTTGGCTTATAATATTACTGTGCTAATTTCATTTTACGACATAATTATTTGAGTTAATATCATGACTTTCAAACAATTCTTATTTCTTTTTGACTCCTTTATCTTTGGTCTATTATTCATACATTTAAGAAAATATGTAATGCCCCCTCAATTATATATTGTCTATGGAATAACTTTCTCTTTAATACTGATACCTGGTTCTTTTAAAATATATTACTGTGAAAGTTTATACGCAAATTTGACATTTTCTCCTGGACATTGGTCACACTGCACCGTGTGTCAGCATTGCCCGTGTCCCCATTCTGGGTTCTGCTTCCCCTGTCCCCTTGCTCATCTTTGATCAATGGAAAATGTTGACAATTTAGCTTCATTTAGATGATTATTTACAGGAGCACAGTATTTAATGTGACTTTTCTGTATTCATTTTGGCACTTATAAAAGCAATTTAAATTCTAGCCATGCATCACTTCTTAATTCAAAACACAAATTACTTTTTTGAGAGATGGAACACAATGTGAATCTGTCAGAGCATATAGAACTGCCAGCTTCTAAATATATACAGATTTTACTTAAGTCTGTTAAAAATTAAGCTGAGGGTTTATGGCTTCACCCTTTTGAGGATATAGCACCTTTTTTACCCTGAGGACTAACAGGTATTTTAAGTCTGAACTCAAATGTGTTCTTAGCAGTTTGGAAAGAGAATTTAATGTTTGGCTGGTCAGAATGAATTTTTACTGCAAAGTTTATATACCATCACTCATATTTCCCAATACGATTTTGATGATGCAGTTTTCACTGTTTAGTATTCTTGCTAAATGTGTAAGTCTCTGTTGGCCATAAATCATGACAATGGTGAACGTTGCATAGAGTATCTGCCTGTTTTGTGGGAGAATGCTGTGTGTTGATTGCTTTTACTAATCAGGGTGTGAGAGAATACAGAGGTGGAAATGGAATATGAAACAATTTACTTGAAATATTCTGAACTCAAGTTGTGCAGTTTGTTACCTCTGCTTCTTAGTCATCTTTTTTGTGTGTTTGGGGAGAGATACATGCGCCACTATCTGTAATCAGTCAGTATCTAGCCATGCTTGGAGGGGGTGGAGACTATTAACAAACCCTCAAAGTATTGTTAGACACTTACTGGATACAGGTACTGCCCTGTGATTCTCAGTTAGACTTAAATAGTAAACAAAAGCCTATGACATTTAAATCTAAATTTTCTATGATTCCCTCTTTTTTAATTAACCTAAAACTATTTACTTTTTAAGGTAGGAATATTTACTTCTTAAAAATGAAATCTTAGCCAGGTTTATATGCATTTGTGGTGCAGTCTATATTTTCATACTATTTGTTAAATCATGCTATCATTAATTTTTTACCTGCTTGTTTTCTCCTTATATTTGGTTTTTTATTTCTCCAAGATCAGGGACTACGTGTAATATCTTTCTGTCTCTAATAAGTCCCTAACACTGAACTGGGGACAATAGGACTTTATTTCTAAACAGCTAATAATATAATATTTCACTCATTCTGCGACACAAATATTTTCACTTTGGGGACCATTGATTTAGGGTGGCATCTTACACTTAAATTTGGCAACAACTTTAATGTCTTAAAATTGATAGTTCTTGGTTTTGAAGAAATCCAGGAGCTAGCATTTGTTGTTTACTATGTACCTGGTCACCAAGGTTTTGGTGAAAATTAACCACTGGTGAATTGCCTTTCATTATCCATGAAGTGTTTTCTAGCATTTTGTCTTATCAATGTTTAGCTGATTCTTACTACCAATTCTTTGTCAGTTATTTCTGTTGCAAATATTTTTTCTCATTCTGACATGCCTTTACACATGTTTATGATGCCTTTTTAATGAAGAAAGCAGAAGATTTTGGCATTTACTTGACTGTTTTCTTTCCATCAGGGACTACAATGTGACAGAGTTATGAAAACAATGTGTTTAAAAATTATCAGACAGTTTGGAAAAATGATATAACTTGGGAGTCATTTTCGATATTGTAGAAAACACTCTAATTCAGAATTTTTTAAAAATGCCACTTTACCTCTAAAA